GAAGATGTTTACTTACTTGCTGGCGTAGAGAGAACTGAATATAGGGAGGTGGCACAGCATGGACTAGTTATAGTTAACTACACCCTAACCTCCTCCCGTGTCAAAAGCATAGCGATTACCGAGAGGGCCCGGGGACTTTCCTTCCGATGTATCAGGGCTTACAGGTTAGAGAGCGCAAGTCGTCATTACCGTTATTCCTGGGGAAAAATAAGGAGCCACTGGGCTTGACTGCTGGCCAACTTCGGAATACTTCATGACTGCGTCAAACCCGCAAGGCTTTCGCTGTTCGTACGTACACAGCAGGGCAAGGGGGAACGCTAGACAGGGTATCTCAGGATTTACTACGAATTCAGTTCAGAAGAGAAGATATAGTCAGATGCCTCCTCGTTCTCCGGTCCGTCTCCGCGCAGTCCGGCTGCGGGGGAGTGTTAAGGATGGAACGAGAGCTAGACGGTCTGGCGGGCGGCGGGTCGCGGTCGCCCAGGGCAGGAGTTATTGTCGGCTGTGGTTGCGGTGGTGGTGGTGGTGGGATCTGAGGTATCGTCCACGGCGGGATGAATATGCGGTCATGAGTTGGTTTGTTGGTTGGGGGATGCGGTTCACGGGCGTGTAGGTGTCGGGTTCCGCGCGTTGGCGCCGGTGGTGGGATTTCCGGTTCTGAGTGTAGATCATCTTCAGAATGTCGATCGAGTTCGGGAGATCTTGATGGACTTCCACGAGAAGACTCTTGGTCACGAGATGCTTCATCTCCAAGAGAAGTCCCATGCATACACTGCCGTTCAGAGCCGGATCTCCCGTGTCCAGGGTAGATAACACCATCAACACCATCAGGGTTCTTACCCCGAGCTAGGGCAACGTCAGCTACCAATCGCAAACCACTCGACCGGCGACCGGCCAACTCACCAGCAACAACGAACCAAACCGGTCCCGTATCCGAATGCATCAACGCAAACAAGGCCCGCAACCACGCCTCCTCCCCCTCCACCACATCGCCGATCTTCTCCCTCAACCCCCGAACCGCCACATTCATGCTCTCCGCCTCCGGCCACAGCGGCTGAAGCACATCCTTGTCCCGACGATAGTAGACCCTCTTGTCTCTGATCTCATCCACAAACGCACCGTACATGCCCTGCGGCAACCGGCAAACCACCTTGCCCCCTTCCCCATCGTCCGTATAATAATACCGCCAATTGGACTGGTGACGGGTTTCCGGCTTCCCGGCGCGCCGCACGTTGATCTCCACAAAATGTTTGCTGATCACGTTCGCGGGCGGCTTGGTGAAGGTGCCGAGCTCCCCCGCGGCGGCGTTGGCAGGCAGGACCAGGCGGCGCTTGCGGCAGCGCGTCTGAAGGTCACCTTTGAGTTTCATCATGTACCGGAAGAGGTAGAGCATGCAGTTGACTTTGTTGGCGTCGTAGGCCGAGTGGATGAAGAGGGGGAGCTGTGGGAGGCGGTCAATGAGTTGGTCTTCGAGTTGCATGCGGACGCGGAGGTGCCTGATCGGTTTTGTGAGTTGCTTTACGTCCACGAGGATCTGGCGGAGTATATCGTCTACCACCAGCCAGTCCAAGTGGTTGCCCCCGGGGAGGGCTTTGTGGAGTTCGGACACTGTGAGGTTCCCCATTCTGGGGGTGGGATGCTCTGCTGCAACTGATTGTGATTGGATTGGTTTGGGTGGTGATCGAGCTGTCACAAGTAAGCGTGGAAGAGTGACACAATCAGTCTGCTGTGTAATTATACCCAGGAGAATATAAGAAAAGACCCGAGCGTAGATACAAGTGTACATGTTGAAGAAGACTAACTGAAAAACAAAACATGGAATGGAATTTTGTGGATAGTGGATACGCAGACAGTGACGGGAACGCGTGCCCGCAGTGGAGATCGACAAAAGGCTAAAAAACCTAGTGCGACGGAATTTCCCCGGACTTGTGGCTGACTAATATACCAGAAGTTAGTTAGTCAGTTATCAAATGCTATTTGGTACCCAAAATAATCGAAAGGACAGGAAATCCTCAGAATGGATGAGGAAAAATATGTCAAAGAATGTGCATTCTAGGCAGGTCCCGTAGAACCAGAAAACGAGATCCACAAGACAACAATCCAAAAGGGAAATATGTGTAGCTCTGCTGGTTGGCAGGCGAATATCCGAAGCGTCCAAAGCCATTACACTAGCCCCGGATGTAGGGAAACTCGCAAGAAATTCTCGGTGTCAAGGTAACTCAACACATCCGCATCGTCATCGTCCATCATCTCGGCATATCCTGGCATGTAAATACACCATAACAAATCATCAGTCTTCAGTAGGTCGGGCCCGGTTTCATACATCCTGGGGCAGTCAGGGGAAAGGGTATCATCGTTGCAATGGTCAAGAATATCAACAGAAAATTTTAGGGAGAAGGCGCGGGAAGGGCTGGTGCTGATATATTCTTTGATGGGAAAACAATAGGCATGACGTCTCCCACGATTGAGGAACACCACACAGGTGATGCGCCGGACTCAGATTCTTCAGCGAGGCAGCATGTCGGGCATCCAAAAGCGGCCATTATCCAAGACACTGTTGAGATCGATCTGGTCCATGTTGGGTCGGAGCCCAAGGTCCATCACGTCGCGCGCAACCGCCTTGATCTGCCGCATGATGCTCTGGGAGATGGCCCACGTGCGGGCCAGCGTCTTGAACACGCCGATTGTCAGTGTAAGCCGGTCCCGACTGGGGTCGGGCATCTGGCCGGCTTTCACCGAGCAGGCGGCAAGCTGCACCATGGAGCTCAATACCAACGTGCAGATGAAGAACGGGGTGTGCTTGACGACGGGCATCCGGATCGACGCCAACGTCGAGATTTCGCTGGCGGCCTTGACGGCCTTCATGGCATGGGCATGGTGCGAGAAAGCCGGGATGCTCAGCGGCCCATGATGACCGCAGATCACCTCCGCGGCCACAGCGGGAGACGACAGCAGATCCGAGCGCGGGAAGTGCAGGTAGATAGACGACCCGTTGACGACCATAGTCGCCTGGAACATCATCTCATCCACTGAACCATCAGGACGCAGAAGCTCAGCCTTCGACTCGGGCAAATGATGGAACCAGCTAGTAATCCGAGCGTCGGTAGCTTCGACCTGATCCTGCTGGCCTTCGACCATATCCTGAATGGCCACCACCCGCCCTAAGATGCGAGCCGCTTCGATGCGGTAGGTATAGGAGGAGAAATCCCGTTCTTCATCAGCGAACGCCCGCTCATCGAATTGTGCGATCGTCAATGGGGGCGGGGGAGCCAGTCCGTCCTGATAAATCCTCTCCTCGCACGGCAGTGGCACTTCCAAAGGCACGGTGTTGCAACGGTATTGCGGCTGAACGCCGAGGGCAGTCAGCATGGCTTCAATGATGAACAGTTCCCACCAGGTTCGTCTCAGACTCTCCTCCCGCACCGGATCCCCCTCTCCCATGGTCTGGGCGAAGTGTCGGGTGTGTAGCCCGAGCTCAAAAGCCAGGTCCACAGCCATTGCGATGCACACTCCGGCATCAGCTCGCTCGTTCCGCGAATGAAGAACAATGGCCAGCAGCAACAGGGCCTGAACCTTTTCCACCGAAGGATCTTGTTCCATGACAGACGACATGACGGTCGGCCTGTACGTGTCACTGGACGCAGCGGGGGTGAAGTGGGTGCCAATGAATTTGATCACATGCTCCAGGAAAGGTGGGACATGAGACCGATACAGAATCCGGAATGGGAGCAGGATGGGGTGGGAGGGGTGAAAGTAGGTGTAGTAAATGTCAATGAGGTAATTGTCGCCTGGGTTGGAAGAATACGAGTCCGGGGTGAGGGGGCTGTGAGCCGCGCGAAGAGGCTGCGACGAGACCGAGCCATCGGTCGTCAGTTCGGGGCTGGTGGTCGGAAGGGAAGGCGGCAACGTGCTGGTGCTGGGGAGCGGCGTCGTCACTGGCATGAGAGGCATGTTCCCGGGAAGAACCCATTCGGAGGGGACATTGTAGAATGGCTGGGCCTCAAACGAAGCCGATAGGTCGGTAGGGAGTTGATCGGGGGAGGACGGGTTGGCTCGGCGTTTCTTTGACGGGCCTTTGTAGCCGCGACGCGACGGGGTGTATTGGCACTCGGCGCCCGTGGCTGCACAGCGGCCACAGACGGGTGTGTTGCCATCACATTTGAGATGCTTGTGTCGGCACAGCAGGCAGGCGAGGAGTGAAGGCCCGGCGTTCTTGGGTGGGTTGGGAGGTTTGGCCGTCACAAATGGGTTGATTCCCTGGTCCATGGTGGCAGACTGTCATAGATCGATTAACACGGGGGACATCAATATTTTGCGATCCAGCTGCCCCCTCTAAGCTACCCAACAATCAATAAACACATCAGAGTGCATGAAAAATGGGTAGGAGCTGTCTTGAGAAGCGCAAAGCCAGAGCGTTGAGGCAAAGCCGAGATCTGGATGGAGCGGGGAGAGCCGCTGTCTGGAATTCTTGGGGGGGAAAGAGATTATGAGGGACAGACACGGGAGGGGGAAGAGGGGACTCGGGACAGAGGGGAAAGAGGGCAACCGAAGAAAAGAGATCGTTCGCATACATACAGCAGATTTGAAGACTGAGGATAGCTGCAGAAGTAGTATCCAGACAGACTGACAGAATTTCACTCTTACCTGTAGTCCATCCAACAAGAAGAGAGACAGGGGAAGAAGTGAGTGAGAGCTGAGATGATACGATTGTAAATGCTAGTTAAGTTAAATAATAATTAATAACGGCCGGGCCGTTGCGGCCGCTGCCTGTATTCTTAGGCATAAGCTAGACTAAGTCCAGTCGGTGGTCACGGTCACGGGTTAGGTAACTTAACAGTCGCAGCTTCCAATCACCGGTCGCCCTGCCCTGATCGGGAAGTGGAATCGGTCAAAGCTGTTGCTGCCTGGGCGATGAGGCATCAAGATAGGCAGTGCTGACTGATAAAGAAAGGCGGGAGGGAGTCCACTGGTTACGAATTACGACGACTTTCCCCGACAGAGCGCAAAGTGTCCTCCTCCGAACCGTCAAGTCAACAGTCTGTTGCTCCCCCCATTGAACCAACAAATCTATCTTCGGAGATTAGGTATGTTTCTTGCATTGATTTTCAACCCAGCAGCCGACATGTCACCTCAATTCAACCGTCCTTCCTACACACTGCCCTGCATCCCATGATTAAGGCTAACGTGGCTTCCCCCGTTCTCCGGACAGTGAACTTCCCATCTCCGCTATCTACTTCCCTCCTACAGCGCCGGTACCTCTTCCTGCTGTGCATCACCACAAAACACCCACACAACAACCTCAATTGAACCTCACACCGTGATATTCAAAATTCTCACCCCACCAGTCCATCCCCCAAAGAAATACAACCATCACAATGATCACCGACGACGAGCTCCACCGCCTGGCCGTCTTCCTCGGCAGCTGCGCCATGATGATGATTGTCCTCTACCACTTCCTCGAAGTCAACGCCAAGGACGATGGCGCCGAACTCGACGCTCCCGCTGATCAAAAAGTGCCCGGGGTCTCGCAGGAGACGGCTGCGGCTGCTGCGGCCGTGGGATCGTCGTCGTAGGGTGTGAATTGGGAAGGAAAGTCTGGCTAGGGAGGATGGATACCCACAACCTGAACGTTTTGACTGCTATTTTCTTTTTTCTTTCTGTCGCGTGTATTTTTGTGTTCTGTGTCTCGAGTCTAGTTTAAGCGAATGACTACAGGGTGGAAAAGACCAAAAGGCAATGGGCTTGTTTGTTTAGAATACCCGGGCGGTGGTCTTTTGGGCTCCCATCCAATGCATCGTTTACTTTCTATGAAATACTTCGCATGTATCTTCGTATGTGTGCATTGTATGGATGTATATCACCTTGCAGAATGTTCCCAGCTTTCCCACGATATCAATGTACAAGGTTGTGGTTTCCTGGGGTAAGCGACGGGTTGGGGACGAACCAAAGCTGGGTAGGAGTCACAGGACACACTCCCAAAAAGCGACCGGAACACCTAGGCCTCGACACCGATGCTCTCGAATGAATTACTCTAGAAAAGTTGAGAAAGGGACCAACCACACCGCCCAATGCAGAATGCCGGTTGCCGTAATATGAAGATACCACAGGCTTAGACAACCACTTCATAAACATCCTCCTCAGTGCTCTGTCGCTCATTCCGCACAAAGTTGGTCAATTCGCAGCCCCCAGGGTCCAAGCCCACGCCGATCTGTTCTTTCAGTCGCTGCACAGCCTTGAGGATTTCCTGCGCTTTTTGCTGCTGGGTAGTTTTGCCATGAACTCTATGGTAGGCTCGGATCGACGAACCACTCGCCGGAAAGATAAGCATGTCATCCATACCAGGTCGACCGTTCTGAGGAATCGTAGACAGTCCTGTTTCGCTAGTGGTTTCACCTATTGGATAGTGCGAGCAAGAGTCAAATAATTAACGATTGCCCTTCAAAATGCTACAAGTCACGCGTAAAGTGGAAATGCGATCATCCAGATGCTTTCTCACCAGGTCTTGGCACAGATGGTCCATCGCCCAGCCTCCACGCGATAGAGTCCAGGTGGTCCTTCTTCACGTGCTTGAAGAGCAGCGCCGCAGGCATGGGTTCCGGGTGTGTGCATCCCTTCCAACCGCAGGTCAGCTGCTGAGAGACATGAACCTTGAAAATGTGTTTCTTGAGCCCCTCCAGGTTATGGAGCTCAGCACGACAGTCCGTCCACTGACAGCCGAAAACCTGGTACTGCACCGGTTGTGCGCTCGTCGCCGTAACCGGCTGCTTGGGTTTATTGCCGCTCCCAGGCGGACGACCAGGTCCCCGCTTGCCCACCATCGCGCTCGCCCGTGTCCTGGGTGTGGATTGTGACTGCGGCTGCGGCTGCGGCGTTGGCGGCAGTGGTGTGTACGGGGACTGCAAGGAAGGAACACCGGTTCTGGGAGGAAGCTGGACCTGCGGACTAGGAGACTGGAAGGAAATTTGGGAGCTAGGAGGAGGTTGCGATGGCTGCACTTGCGGTTTTGGATGTGGAGGCAGTGCCTGCTGAGGTTGCGCAGATGCTGGCGGGACTGGGGCTGATGGGAAGTTCAGATGAGGCGGAGCAGGAATCGGGTGCGGCGGTCGCGGCGCGGGACGCGGCGCGGAAAGTTGGTTGGGCGTGGAAAGTCGGTTGGACGGCGGAAGGGGAGCGCCCATCCGTCCCTGGTCACGTGCCTCCTGCGAATCTACTAGATCCCATCGAAATGTCGCCAGATCTGACCCGTTGTCCACATGTGTGAACACATCCCGTAGACGGAAGAGGTGATGGTTCAGAGCGTCTTCAGTTGGATGACGACCGGATGCAATTAGAACATCTCTAGCAATGGTCTTAGGGTCATAAGCCAGCTTCCGAGCAGCATCCGCTTCATTTATAGGCTTCACAATGTCGGCGCGGTGTTTCAAATGATCCTTCACTTTGAGCCCCGGGGTAGTTGCGGGAGAGTAACTGTAGACAGACAGCCCACCTGCCGGGATTGGAGGATGGGCGGCACCCGTGGACGCAAACGACGCCGGTGGCTTTGATGTCTTTGGAGGTCCGACGCGACGTTTCTTAGCAGGATTTCCAGACTCTTGACTCGTGAACGCATCGAACTTCTGCTTTTGAGGGATCACTTGCGAAGGCGCTGGGCCTGGTGCTGTGCCTGGTGCTGGGCCGGGTGCTGGGCCGGGTGCTGGGCCAGGCGCCGGGGCAGGAGCCGGGGCAGGAGCCGGGGCAGAAGCTGGTTGACCTCCGGGTTGTGGTATCTGGGGCATACCGTGCGATGGTGGCTTATGAGACCCAGCGGATAAACTTTGGTAAGGTCCGCCCGTATGATGACTTGTTGCTGGATTCCGTACCAGACTCTTCGGTGATACCCCGTAAGGCGCGGCGGAAGAGTTCTGATTGTGCCCGCCTGCATTCTGATCTACTGGGCCGTTTTGTGGCCTGCCTTGTGAAGGAGCCGTGTGAGACCCAGCAGTAGGAGCTTGGTTGGGTCCGCCGGTAGCCTGAGTTACTGGCGGATTTTGCGGAGGCGCGGAGTAAGCCGAAGGTGACGGCATCGGCTGAGGCGTTGGATGGTAAACAGACTTCTGCGCCTCAGGAGAGACTGTCTTCGAGGTCGGCGGAGGCGCGCGCCCGGGCGCAGAGGCCGAGGCCGTTCTGTTACCATCAGGCATCGTTGTCCAGGCTCTTGGAGGGCCAGCCTGAGGTGCGCGAGGGGCCGCGCTGTTGGGCAGGTGGGATTGTGTGGGGTTAAGCAATTGAGGAGACCCTGTGTTTCGAGGCTGAGGCGGAGCTGTCTTCGTAGGCGGCGGAGCAGCTGCTGCAGGTGCTGTAGGTGCTGCTGTCGTGGTAGGTGGATAGGATTGGGTTGGTTGTTGAGGCTGTGGAGACGGTGCCCGCTGCGAATGATAGAGAGCTTGCTGCGCTAGGTTCTGATAAGACTCGGGTCCCCTGACAGGAGCATAATGAACCTGCGAGCCTTGCGTCTGGGACACGGGGGGTGGCGCGCCGGACGATGGAGGCGCATAACGAGGTGGAGCATGCGGTGGGCGAGATTGTGTTGGAAAAGGAGCGGGTGCTGAGGAAGGAGTAACACCGGTAGGCCTCACATTGGTTCTCTCCGCTGATGGACGACCTTGAGGGTAAGGTGGTTGAAATCGAGCGTGACTCGTTCCTGGCGACGGGTGGGACATTTGAGACGGCGGGGGCAAGGCAAAGTACGGGTTTGCCTGAAAGTATGCCAAATTATTGTCTTCAAACTTCTGCACCTCGGGGTCGTAGCCATAGCGTAGGTAGCTTTCTAGCCACTGAATGTCATCGTTGTTTGACATTTTTCCTTGCCGGTGTTGGTGCCAGGCCGCGTTATCGGGGTTTCAGGCGCGAATAGATTCCCGTCTGGATCATGACATGAGATCGAATAGCATAGTTGTGTGCAGGAAAGAAAGAATAAGTGAATGTTAGTAGCACATCGGTATTTCACAGAAAGATTCTGTAGCACTCTATAAAAACAAGAATCGAAGCTTGACGCGACTACGGATAGCGCATCGCGAAATGCAATAGAACAATGGCCGGAGGATCATCGACCCGGACCGCTCGTCAGATAGGCAGGCGGTGAGCTTTGATTGGTACTTTCTGGGACTAGCTGTAAGCTGCCGAATGAGGGGGCTTCTAGTAAGGCTAAGCGCAGCTCGGATCATGTGACGCACACTGCCCATTGAAAAGGTCCGCGGGAGTCGCCCATCGACTTCTGTCTAACTCACAACATGCGAATTCTTTCAAGTTTCCACACTCCAGGGAATCTGCACCACGATCATGTTCCTGAGCTCGCGGAGATCTGCTGAAGCGTCTTAAAATGATTGGGACAATCTGCAGACAAGCACTATACCATTGGCCGCATGCATCCGAGATGCAATCATCCGGACTTGACGACCTTTGACTTGCACGCCCTATCACAACAATCTAAGCAGGGCTTAGACTTGCGAGGGCGATGCCACAACTCCGGATGCTGGTGCATAAAGGTCAATGGTCTAGGGCCCTCGATCTCCGTGCTCAACCCTCGATGAAGCGCAAGCATACCGGCAAAGGCTGAAACATCCCGCTCAAGGAACTGGACTATCACGATCACAATTGGTCAGGCACGAGATCTTTACGGAAGATACAGTACCTCGAGAAATGCGCTACGACTACCCCGAAAAACGTAGCTGATCGCTCCCCTGATCATCCCACCCCCCCCCTATTTCCCACAGGAATTGCGCCAGGTTTATCTCCCCATCAACCCTTGACAATGCTTGATGGGGTATACGACTGGCGAAGAAGGAATAGCAAATAACCTATACCTGGATCTAATCCAGGGGGTTCGTTTGCCTCGCTTGCAGACCCGCACTGATGTTACCACGGTGGCAAGGACGCTGTGGGTTTGAGAGTGAGACACATACTGTAAACTTTAGCAATTAGATTGCTTAGGTAGCCGATCAATTGAACACCATATCACGATACTTGATTCTTTTCCCTCTCAGTCTGGATTCTCCTGGTTGTGCACCTTCTATGGGCGCTTTGTGAACTACGCAAGGTGTGGATTGGATGGACGATGCAGTTGGATTTGTATTGTATGCTCATGAGCTCTGCAGTCTATCTCTTGAGCTGGTTCGAGACATTTCCAAGCCTGGTGCCTGGAGGTGTATTCTGTTTGCCATATACGGCAATATGTTATTATATAATGGGTCTCGAGCTATATCTGCCGGTGTTTGTTCCATCGCCGACTCCTTATACTCCACAGGCTTGGTCTAAAACCGGGGGATTAATAGTGATATAGAAGTAAACCAGACTACATTATCATGATATTATACAGAATTAAAACTTGAGCTTCCATCCATCTCAAAGGCCAGCCCAGCCCACCAACCTCAACTAGATACCATCACCCGTTGACAATCATGAGCCCATCAATCAACAACCAGCGCAAAAGAACTGCAACTCAAAACAAACGCAAATCAACAACACGCAACAAGCACAAGGCTCAATCTCAACCTTCACAAAAAGGAATTCAATCTCACACCCCCACCCACCCAATCACCCCATTTTCTTTCCACTCACTGCCATCCAACCAACCAGTCGAAACATTCAACCCACGCACTTCCCCCAGGCAGGCAACCCACACCCCATCCCGACAAACAAATACACCAGGAACACGATCACCACGATCAACAGCACGACCAGCTTGACATTCTTCCACCACATGCGGCGGCGCAGCCCGCGGCTGCGCATCCGGAAATCATGCGCGCTGCCGCCGAGCCGATCCGTCTTGTCGACGAGCAGATCGATGCGCTCGCCGCGCTCCAGCACGCGCTCGATGTTCTCCGTCATGATGTCGCGCACGCTGTCGATCTCGCGCCGCGCCGAGGCGAGCGAGTCCGACGGCGGCGCCGTGTTGTACGTCTGCAGCAGCGCGCGGAGGTCCGGGTTGAACGCGGCGCAGCCGTAGGCCGGCAGCGTGGCAAAGTCGGTGCTGGACGGCGGGTAGGCCGCCAGGAACTTGCGCTTGATCTCGAGGAGGAAGGCGAAGGGGATGCGGCGGCCTTGCTCGGCAGTCGCGACGACGATGTAGCTGAGCGGGGCGTAGGAGTTGGGCTCCGTGGATGAGGAGGAGTCATTGTTATTGTTGTTGGTGCTGCTGCTGCTGGGGGAGTCGGCGATGTAGTGCACGAATAGGCGCTCGTGGGTGTACGTGAGCTTCTGGGGCTGGTCGTGGGAGATCTTGGGGAGGATGATGGAGGCGAGGGAGGAGGCGGCTGATGAGGAGGTGCCGGGGGAGGAGTGTTCGGCTAGGATGGTGGTGCGGTGGGCGATGCAGGAGCTGGATTTCCAAGGAAGGTGAATTGGTTAGTTGTGGGCTTAGCAGTGGAATTGCATTGGGAAGGAGAACTGAAGCTGGCTGGCTAGCAGCTGGGTTGTTTTTTTTTTTCTGTGTTGAGGTTTGTGGGTTGGTAAAGACGTACTAGAGCAGGAAGCTCGAGGGCTTCGAGGATGAGGCGGCGGCCATGATGCTGAGATGGTTAAGTTCCTGCCAATTCTATGTCGATGCTGCAAAAAGGTTGTCACCAGCTGGCAGGGCAGGCGAAGAGGTTACAGTTGTTGTCTCTGTCTGGTGCCTGGAGGCATCGATTGCGAGATAAGATCATCGGTCCGTGACGTCGCCGCCCCCAAACCCCGGATTCCATCACGTGCTACGCGGCTGCCTTCCCAGGCATTGATATTGACTCTTTACATGAAATATTCGCTGAAAAGACAATCTTGCTCTAGATTCTAGCTAGATATCTCTCTGTAATATCTCACATAAATCTTCTTTCGTCTCAGTGTATAAGCCTAGAGTGGCCGGATCGCATCTTCAAGTGACAAGTCTTCAAAATCTGCAATAGATTGTTCAATACCGCTTCTTTCGCTTGCCATGCTGAACGACATGACATCCGTACCAAATCCGCCTGTCGCCCCGTGCGACGCAGCTTGCACCGTGCTCTCATACATGGTGGAAGAATAGTCTGAGAGCGGCTTCGAAGCAACCGAGCTTCCCATATGTATCCCCGGTCCCGGCGTCGCGAAACCTGCAAGCTCGGCATTTGGAATGTCAAGGTCGGCGAAGACACCTCCAGAACCATCGTCGTTACCTCCCGCCCACAAAGGAAGATACTTCACTTCATTCGCAGTCAGGCAGCTGACACAGTCGGTAATAAGCTGATCCATCTCAGATCGATAGGACCCGCGCATCCTGTCTGATATTGAGTGCAGATAGGAAGAAAGTTGGCTGAAAAAATCCTGAGGGTTAAAGTCAATGTACCCTTCCGGATAGAGACCTCCGAGAGGGCAGATTGGACCGGAGTGTGCTTCGCTCGAGAGATGACCCAGGGTGTTGTTCCATGCTGACTCCAGCTCTCCAGTGTCGCCTACAATAATGAGATCCGCGCCGTAAACGGGACGACCGGAGCCGGTGTGGGCGTTGTAACGGTTGACTTCTCCAACCAAGTCACCCGTGTCAAAAAGTCCGATCTTGGTATTTTCCTGCGCCCGAAATGGCTGTAGATGACGGCCCAGATCGGCGACCGATTGACTTGCGATGGAGTTGGCTGAGCGCAGATACACGAAGGCTGACGGTAGGAGATTGCTCCAATTTTTTGACCCGAGGTTCTTCCAGAAAGTTCGGCTCATAATGCGCTCGGTGTAATGCATCTTGGTATAAGCTTTCAGAAATCGCTCTCCCGGGTAATCATCATCGGGCTCATGAAGCACTGAGATTTCCTTCCAAGTTACCAGGTCGGTATTTAATGCATCAATAATATGGTGTCGCACATAGTTCTTGAGACATCTGATGAGCTTAGATGCAAGAGGACAAGGAGGGCCGCCTGCTTCGTGTAAGAGCACTTTGTGGACCGCAGGCAATCTCTCCAGCCATTGCATCTTGCTGCCAACGAGCTCAAGAAAAGTGTAAATGACATGGTCCTTGAAGCTTTGACTGGCATACTCCACTCGCTGCCGGTCCTCATCATCCAGGACCTCCCGAACCCGGCCGTACAGAGTCTCGTGCGAATCCCAAGGGCGGGTAAGTGTTGCGTTCGGCTCCGCCATCAATCGCAAAGATGCCTCTCCGACCAAGATCGAAAATGAGTCCTGGCACAAGTATTCGCATTGGATAGAGCAAGCAATTCCGTATGCAATCTCTGGGTGCATTTCAATGAGTAGAGAATTCCTACCCTCGTAAATCCAGGTCAAGATCGGGACCTTGACCCGTGGATGATGAGCGATGCCATACAGCTTAGCCAAGGCAAGGAACGTCCAGAGCTTGCACGGAGTGTTAAGCTGAGGCTTGAGTCCTTCTAAGGCTTGGAGGACATGAGCGATCCCTCGGCGGTTGCGAGCCTCTGAATACTCAACAGGGATGCCGGGCTCGTCACTGCTACTGGAGTGTTCAAGTCCATCGTCTATGCCACTAACAAGGTGAGATGGGAGGGTCCATCGATTTTGTGCAAGAGCCCATTTTCGTAACCCTAGCGGACACGAAAGCTCTGTAGTAAACCTCACCCCTTCATCATCTGTGGTGGGCGGCGTGAGGTCAATGACAAACTTCACACCGTCAGGCAACGTCCCATCTAGCTTGCGACGCTTCAGAACTCGAGACTGAGCTCTAGGCTCAAATAGTTTGCGAAAGTAGGCAGAACCCGTGGACAGCAGTCTTTGACTATGGACTCTGTGGGGAATTGTAACTGCGCGTTGTGGTTGCAAGGAATACCTTGACCGATCGTGTGGTTCTGTGTCGTCGATGTAAACGAGGGTGTCGGCACTGTCCATGAGAATCAAGTCAGGCTCGTGGCTGCGACTCATCGTGATATCTGGCTATGAAGTGGTGTCTTGTGGCGTGAGAAGGCTGAGTCGGTTGATGGGCTGTCAATCCAGGAAATGTTGAAACCAAGTAGAGACAAGTAAAGGCTTCTCAAAACCGAGGCTGATTGATGAGAATCAAAGAGTGAAGTAGAAAGCTGACGAAGAAGGATGAAAGAGAGAGAGGTGAACTGAGGAAGGGAGAAGAGAGAGAGAAGAGAATTGAGAAGACAAAGATGAATGTATACCGCAGATGTGTTGTGTTATGAAAGGCGGGAAGAGAGAAGCCTGCCCGTCACAGCCTCAGCCCAGCCTTACTTGCTGCCTACAGGTGAATGGCTAGCCCTGTGGCGTAGAGCTCACCGATGACGATACCGTACAAGTGAATAAGGCGCGAGTGACTACATCATGAAGGTAACTATCTCTTTTACGGTTATAGTCTCCGCTAACTGTAACTGTAAAGAACTGAATCAGTCTCGACTGCTTGCTGGCACAGCCCTTGCATTACAAAGTAGCACAGCAAACAAAATAGACAAACGGAAGATTGTCTGACTCACCTATTATGACCTCTTCATTGGTTGCTATGGAGAGTCTTTTGTAAAGTCAAGGTGCTAGTTACAAAGTGAATTTGTCAGGATACAATCATGAATATCCTTCAGGTCAGGTCATCCACTTTATGCTGTGGAAAGCAAAGAAGGCACTCAAGGGAAGAGAAGAAGTTGTTGGAGAGAAGTCGTTGGAGGGCCTATGTAAAAAGGTGATTTTTGATCTTATCATTAGTACCTATTACTTACATACATATCTGCGGAATCATGTCCGGACTAATCAGGCCGCAAGATCAAAAACCCCATAGTTATCCTAGATTGGCGGTCTCAACCTCAGACCCGGCAAGAAAAGCTCGTCCTAGACTTAATTGCAAGGCTGAGCTATCAAGGAAGCGGTTTAGAAGCTCTTTGAATATAAGACGATACGAATACTGGTAGCAATATGTGCAATCGCCTTTCAGGAGTTGAAAAGGGTATCAACAGAAAGCTATGTAGCACAGCAGAAAATTGATGAGACAGCCAACCAAATACTAATACAAAACATTAAACATGTCATGATCATCGATGCATCAACATAATCAAACCGCTACTCATCCTGTGAAACGGTCTTCTCCTCGCGCAACTGAGTGGCTGACTCGTCTGAGTATTGGCCTTCGCTGCTAGCCTTGCTTTTGCGAGACCCCGGACCGTTCTTCTTGTGCTCCTTCTTGTCACCCGCCCGTCTCTTTTTCTTCTCGCGCTGAGTAATGACTTGCTCATCCGGTCGACTTTGACTGCGACTCGCACCCCCGCGCCGGAGGTCCTTGACTTCCTTGATCACCTCGCGGAAACCTTCTTCAATGTTGTTCATCCGAGCCAAGACAAGTTTACTGAGCATATCCTGGTTGCTGTTTGGACTGTCCGGGCGTCTGATGTTGCCCGTTGCGTAGGCCATTTGAGTGGTCATACTTGATGGAGCCCCTCCAAGGAAGCCGTTCGTGATTGCTTTGTTATCACCCAGGTCAGAACCCAGACCGTCGAGTATCGAGGACCGATGACGTCCCCTGAAATGAGAGTCAGGTGCTGAGAAGCCATTCATATCAGGGACAGACATGGGGTCGGATCTATGCAATGTCGTGGTTCGAGACCTCCCTCCGTCCGTACTGTGTCGTCGTAGAGCCCAAGGTCCTCTGGATGGCGGCCCGATTATACTGCTTGCACGGTCTGGAGTGTGAGCCCTCGGTCTGAAAGGGTTTAAGGAAGCATCCGTTTCCTCATGTTCACTTCTTCGAGGGATCGGATTATAGAGCATAGTGGCACCCGAGTAATTCCGTTTATGATATTTGATACGTCGAGTGGGACTATTCTTGCGAGACTTGAGTCGAGCCGTTGAGGGTCGGGAGCTGAAAAACTTTGGTTGCGTGGTGTGAGAGCTTTCATTTGCGTTCATGAGGGTGTTCTCCTCGGAGTTCTTCGACGGCGATCGATTTTCTCTCTGCTCCCCAGTCCATTCGCCATTGTCGTCACTAGTTAGCTCATCATCACCCTCCATTCCTGTTTGCCGAGAAAGCTGTCTGGTTCTCGCAGGGAGTAGGAAGCCTCTCCCAGGACGAGGCGTAGCTGGTGATGATGCCACAGGGTGTGCAGAATCCTCAGGATTAGAGGCAGCTGACCGGTTTGACTCTGTAAAATCACGCAGACTTCGTGTCATCCGCCGTTGATATCCTGTTTTATTCCTCGGCAATCTTTCCAAACGGCTCACTTCATCCGAGTCTTGCTCATCAGGAGGATGAATAGGTCCCGAACCCATGGTCTGCATCCAATGATTGACAGCCAGGTCGTTTTCTCGAGGATAAAGCTTCCTTAGTCCTCTGCTTGGTTCATCCTGATAAGGTTGTCGGAAGACAGCTTCCAGCGCCCGATCTTTCTGGTAAGTCGCCACTGAGGGCTCTCGTACCAGCCGATTTCCTTGAGAGGTAAAAGCTCTGAATCGGTTACGACGAGGCCGAAAGCGGTCTGCACTATCGGTACGAGCAGAAGGATCAATGAGGTCGATAGAGTCAATGACTTGAAAACTGAGTATTGTCTTCTCATAGAAGCAAATGGAAAACAAGATCGGCAGGTGGGTGACTTTGATGATTGTGCGATTGAGCCGAACGAACTGTCTGAAAGACATGAAATAGCGGAATGGAGCAATTAACCATGCCAGTATGTTCGTCGGCGCAACATAGGAGAAGAGGGCATCCGACTTCACCATGGAAATGGTATTGACAGCGAAGAGAAATTGGTGCTCTTGGTTGGCATTTTGCACAATGCCCATGAAAGAATTGGTGAGAACTGTGATCAAGATCGTCACAACAACAAAATGACAAATGAAGAGGAAGATAGTCAATATGAGTTTCCCCAGTGCGTTGTAGTCTTCCCAGAGGGTCCACGCAGTCGGGGTAAACCCCATCAGCATCTGAAATAGAGCATAAGCTACGGCGCCCGGCGAGTGGTCCTCGCCATTGCCAAACGAAAGTGTGAATGCAACGAAAAATCCACTGCAAGCGATGATAATCAACAGAAACACTGCGATCAAGTCCGACGCCATGATTCGGAAAGCAATGAGCAGTTGAGAAAAGTAGCGATAATGATCGAGGATTGAAAAGAGGCGAGGGAACAACAAAACAGCGTTCGCAGCCAGGATATCGTATGCCTGATCGGCAATGTATTTGTTGCGCGTGTAGGGCATGACAGCACCGTAAAGCCGCATGCAGTAATAGCAGAAGAGAAGGAACAAGATTCCGAGGTCAAACAGATTCCAAAAGCTCATGAGATATAGACTGAAGCCCTGTTCATTGAAGCCGACAATCTCGTCGAGCATGAAGCCAGCGCTCCATAACCAGAAAACAATCTCGAGAGAGGTGATTTCAAGGCGACGTTGTTGCAGAACAGCCAGAAACAGAACCAGCAAAATTGCGAACGACAGTGTGGATAGAAATTGACGATAACGAGGCACCCGCAGCCTGGACAGCTTGAACAGGGACGCATCCCTTGGATCATAGATAGTCACTGAACGGCGCAGGCTGGACATTCCAGACTGTGTCTGCTGATGGGCTGGTACCAGGTTGGGTGTCGAGCCGTAAGTTAGCCCTCCGTTCTGTTGAGGTCTGGCTAGCGAGCGATGAAGGTTGTCAGCTGCTGAATGAAACACTATTGTGCCTGCCCAAATGGCCTCTAGCTGCTGTACGACAAGTGGATGCGATAAAAATCGTTTGGCCTGAGCCCGAATGGCTATTTCGAGGCAGGAGATGCGAGCGATGCCAGGTCGCTTATTGCCCTGCGCGGAATTCCAGCCAGGTGGGCGTTCAGTGGCCGCCTGCCCATTAAGTGGGTAGAATTCATAGGACAGAGCATCAATCAGTTCTCGCGTTGTATACTCCCTCAGCAACTTGATAGCGAGAAGTTCGCAGACCAGGGCCCTGGTCTGGCTCACACCACTGTTTCCCGGATTTGAATGAACCTCTTTTGTGAATTGCAAGCAATTGGTCATCAGTGCGTATAGCGTTGCCCGAGAAAAGTGTCCCGTTCGGATTTTCTGCTGAATAGGCTTCACAAGGAATTGGGAGATCTGGGGTGATCGCAATTGATCCCATGTTAAGGTAGTTTCGCAGCGCGTAACGATCAAAGGGCGAATGGCGTGTGTGATATCATAAACTGGAAGAGTATCTAGGGTCGGTAGAGTGGTTAGCCCATGCATATGCGCAGCTCATGGTACATGCTGTTTCATACCGAGGTGAGAGGCAGAGAAGATAGGAAGAAGAGGGCTGGTTTCAACAGGAGTATCTTCCTCTTCCTCTTCATCCTGATCGGGACCCGGTACTCGACCATTTGCTTCATCAAAGCCATTTTGTTGACCGAACTCCTCATATCCCTGTCCCCACCCCCTTTGCGGGGTGTTGTTATCAAAGAACGGCCATGGTGACTCTCGAGTGGTATAAGGTGATGAGAACGGAGAGCGATCCGCATACGTTCTCCGCTTCTTTGGGCGTAAGAGAGAAGCGAGCATTCTTCTGGGCGATCCTGGAAAGTCACGATCGCGCGGGGAAGCGGTGGCTCCAAGGTTGTTTATCTTATCATGTTCCAGCAGCACCAGAAACGAACAAAGAGAGCAAGGTACTATTCAAGTTCAAAGACGACGACGGAAAGACCAGCAACAACCTGTAAAGAAATCGACTGAGGGATTAGTGAAAGTCGCCAGGCAAGTTCGCGTGATCGGAGTAAGCATTTTTGCGCCGAGTTAGATAAACAGGGAGAGCTACCGAATGATGAAACGATTTGCTGCAAAAATTGACGCAGCTCACATGCGCCTGCAGTGCATCAGCAGCAGCAGCAGTACGGAGTAGAAGGGATTGGAAGATCGCAGGACTCGCAGGAGAATTATCAGCCATCTTGAGATTTCATGCGACAACGCCCAGGCCGCGTCTTAGCGCAAGATAAGTGATTGCTCTGAGCCTTGGCCAGCCCAGGCCGAAGCACTGACCTGAATAGTGAGACCATTACGTAGGGGAACCCGGAAGGGAGGCCAGCCTTAATTATGGCGCGGTCACGGATAAGTTACTTATCATGGATAGTTAACTACCTCCCTACTACAGGTCGACCGCCCACCACCTTTCAGATGTAAGTGAATGCACATCAAGGCATGCACTCTCAATGATGAAAATTGCATATTTCATCCATCTGAAGAAGTCATAA